GTCAAAAGTTGAAAAGGACTCTCGATCAAATAGTGGATGCATGGGAGCCAGAACGTGACAATACATGACTATTTTCAAATGCTGCAAACAAAACACATTGTATTCATCAACAACTGATCGATAGTACCGATAAGATAGTATGCTTTATGGAAGAAGATGCAATCAATCCTGAAACAGGTGAGATACCAACAAAAAAAAGAATCTCTTCTCTCTTTTTCATCTGTAATTTTGTATCGATTGAAAACAAAATAGACAGGCAAACTCCATCAAGACAAACATTTCAGTGTGAGACGGATCGGTCATAATCTTCATATGCTCGAACCTGAGTTCAAAAGTGTGGCATTTTCGGACAAAGTCACAGTAAAGTACATGAATCAATCTAATTCTGCAATATCATTATTTATTCATCAGGCTGTTTTGCATGATCTCAACTTTATCCAACCAACGATTCGCCAATCGTTGGCTATTTTTAAGCAGCCATTCCTAGCAACGAAGGGCAATTGTATTCTGTTCATATGGTAAGTGAATTATCTATTCTTTCCATTTGATAGCGCCGACTCATCAAGATGGAACATTCATGTATAATGAACCGCTAAAGATAATAGCAAGGAGAAAAAAGCGGCTCCTGAATCCTCGGTTCTTGGTGAAGCTTGACAGATTCTGGTGGATTCTGTGGATCCTGACGACTCTTTATGGATCCTGATGACTTTTTTTGGATCCTGGTGGCTCTTTTTTGGATCCTGAGGGATTCTACTAGATTGTGGCGGCTGCTTGTAAATATGAGCACCAAAATATTATATCATTATCCCTCGCTTACTTTGCTTAATCAAATCTCGAATCTTATCTAGGTAATCAATATTGCTTTGGAAGCGTTTCTACGATCGCTTCTAAATATTATATTCGTTGTCACTAGGTAAAGCCTCGTAATTATTATGGCAACGCCTAACAAAAGTTCAGAAACTTTTTTTATGGAATTTAGACATCGTCACTAAGGATGAGCACAGAACAACTTTTGCTTGACTATCTGGTAGTCCTTTAGCTGATGCTTCATCTTATTTACAGAAGAACTTTGAAACTAAATCTTTTAAAGGAAGAAAGGTAAATTTTTCTATTTTTCTGGGTAGTACAGCGCTGTCTGTGGGTAAGGGCATAGGATTGAACCGAAAATGTTCTTTTCTCTTGAGAAAATCTCAGCTGCAAAGCTCTTCTGTATACACAGTGGAACACCAACTAAAGAAATATTGGATCATTCACCGATAAAAGTATATTAAGAAAAATGCTGTGACGTCTAATTTACCGATTGAATAGATATGAAATATGATGAGAATAGACAGTTAACATTGTCTTGTCGACTCATTTAACTATATCAGAAGAATGACCGGACATTCATTGTTCAAATAAGCATATAAACAGCATGATGAATTTACAGATATCATTCATCTATTATTAACAGCTATTCTTGTAAGAAAAATTATTTGTCGAGAAACAATATTTTTATCAATAAAAATGGACAATTGGTTTTATATGAATCGAATGACATTTGAAAATGTTCTTAATAATGAGCTAGGTGTAAACCTTTACTGAAAAATTATTTTCAATCGATTTTGACCTTTCAATATCATTTCTGATTGATGAAACATCGGATGAAACATTAATAAAATTTCAACAAACATATAGTCATGTAGTGTGTGGTAAAATAATTTGCAATAAAAATTGTGTGCCATGTTCATTTAATGCACCAACTTATGCAAAATTAGCTTGATTTGTTCAACGTTTACTCATTACGAATCCAATACGTAATGCTTTTATTAAACAAACAGCACTTCTAACATTATTAAAGGAAGATCCTTCATTTATGAAAGATAAAAATGTAACAAATCATATCACAATTCCTTGTGATTCTACTGAAGAAAATTCATTGGCTGTTAATGAAGATGAAAATGATAGAAATATACGAATTCAAGAAAGTTTTCAAATACAATTTTGATAAAGTCTTATATTGATAATTACTTTCTGTTTAAAAGATTCAAATGATAACCGTTTAAAATATGAGTGTTTGGCAGTTATTGTGCCAACCATATTCTGTATTTTTCTCATGATCATTTGGTTTTTTATTTCCAAATCTTGAACAATTTATATTACATCGATTTATTCTTTGAAACATACAAAAAGCAAACGAACAATGTTCACATCACCGTCTGTTATTAATCGAAGATAGATGTGGTTTCTTTTGCTTTTTTGTAATTTCTGGTTAGTTTTACCAAATACATTTTTTCTATCACAGTATTCAATCAAATCTATCCAATAAACTATTTCAAAAACATCAAATTTCTATTTACTTAAAAAAAACAACAAAATATTTTGGCTTCTTAGGGATATGGGTCTCACAGAGGGAAGTCATACATTCATACCCACTCCCACATTCAAACAAAATCGTAAGAAGTAGTTGGTAGTTCAGTTGCATATGACTCGCCTTTTACTTTCGGAAGTTATTTGTGGATGATAACCCTAATGAAACTCTTGAATGAGTTTTAAAAAATGAAGTGTGTGTTGTGGATGGCTGATAGAAGACCCACACCCATACGTTCTTGCATGTAATCCTCTTACTTATACAGCTACCCCTACCTTCTACAATTATCCACAAACTGCTGAAGCTTACCTCGACGATCAGTATGTATCAGATGATGCCACTCAAACATATGCAACAGACCGTAAAACCTATTTATGGTATCATAAATTATGAAATTTATTCAACATGAGAGATATCTAAAACTGTATGCGATTGATGAAGAAATTTTTCTAGGGCGAAAAACTGATTTATTCGATGGAAGATTCAAAGTCATTTTCTCTTCAATATATTATTCATATACCTCGTTTTCACTCCTGCTTCTGATACAATATTTTTTCATTGTCACATAATACACTGTCGAAAAACTGGGTGTGGGGTGTGGGTATGATATTCTATTCACTCATACGCACACCCACATTGTAAAAGAAATAGGTACTTTCCTGAACCTTCCAAAAAGGTTTCGTAGGTGTCTAAAAGCTTCCAAATGCGTCCAAACGCTTAAAAAACGATTTTTAAAATCTATAAAACCTTAAAAGGATCTGACCGTGGATACACGGTTCGAGCCATCTCCTACGAAACCTTTTTCAAGTTCCGTACAGCAAAAAAAGGTTTCGTAAGAAAATACGAAACCTTTATAGTCTCCTAGTAAACCTTATGGTTTCGCACTATGGTTTTATACCAAACCATTATGTTTACCAGGAAACTATAAAGGTTTCGTATTTTCTTACGAAACCTTTTTTCGCTGTACAGGACTTGAAAAAGGTTTCGTAGGAGATGGTTCGAACCGTGTATCCGCGATCAGATCCTTTTAAGGTTTTATAGATTTTAAAAATCGTTTTTAAGTGTTTGGACACATTTGGAAGCTTTTAGACACCTACAAAATTTTTTTGGAAGGTTCAGGAAAGTATCTATTTTTTTTTACAGTGGGGTGTGGGTATGAGTATGAGTGAATAGAATATCACATCCATACCCTCAGAAAAGTAGCTATTTTTTTTACAGTGCACACCCATACGCACACGCACACCCACACTCTCACCCACACCCACACCCATCCTCACCCACGCTCACACCCACGCCCACACCCACGCCCACACCCACCCTCACCTTGATATTCTGAATCAGCGCGGTGCACTGCACACAGTCATGCATGTTTCTACGAAAAAGCGATTGATCACTTGGGGAACTTTTCTCATAAGCTCTTTTTCCAGGTACTCTTCCTCCGATTACAACGTTTTCTCTGAGCACTCGCCTTTAAATAGTGTGCAATACAAAGAAAGAAAGTTGATCAACAACACGATGAATCAAAGTATGATATACAATCAGTCCAGGACTTACATATGACAGACAACAGTTGACAGTCGGCAGAT